GCTTCACACAAAGCAAAAATAATTAAAAACAATAAAACAGATCACAGATATAATAAAAAGCACTTAACTAAAAGCTTGTCTGAATAAGAGGTGTGACATCAGGAGACCCACATTAAATAGTTTTAATTAAAGAGGAGTTCCAGTGTTGCTCTGAACTGAAACAATGAGTAAGAAGTGCTGTAAAGACGGGAGCTGTAAAACTCATCATCAGGAGGCTGCAGCTCTGCCTCATTTGGACCTGATCCATTTCTTGGTTTTCTCACAGTCTTTAATGATTAATCTGATGGTTGGAGGGAGGAAACTGAAAGAAGAACTTCAGAGAAGCAGCTGAAGCTCTGCTTTCAGTTCCTCCTGATTTATTGGCTCATAAAGAAAAACTGAATCACTTGGAGCAGCTTCACTTTCAAACAGAAAACAATCGGATTTGTTCAAAGAAATTTCAAGTTTTCTCTCATTTTATGTTTGAAAATTCTGTTATATTTTAAAAACATCTATACAGAAGTGATTTATATTGAACTGTAGCTCCAAAGTGTCTCCTTTAAGACTTGATTTGACTAAAACTGATCAGTCACATTTTAGTTTCCTGTCTGCTCTCCTGTCAGAGCTGGGACTGTCAGAGCAGCAGGTGGAAAAAAACCAGCAGGTGTTTGTGTCCGTGTGACCCTGGAGCTGTGGTCACTGAGCTCAGACCTCAGCCTGTTTTTCTACACGACTTGTGAAACTGCATTCTGTCCAYCTTCAGCCACGGCTCGGCTTCTTTTCATCTCTTTGTTAAACATAAAACATTTGTTCAGTTTGTTCCAACAGATTCAATAAAACATAAAAGAAAAGATTTAGTGTCAGACACCTGTTTTACTGAAGTTAACGTTCTCACCAGTTCTAACCAACAAAACCTCATATTATTTTGTTTTGTCATAGAGTTGTTTTTAATATAAAATTGCTCCTCACATAGTTTCACATAAAGTTATCCAGAGGAACACACCTTTAATTATTGCAGAGAGGTTTTTACTCAATCTAAATTCCATTTCTTTTGTTGTTGTTGTTGTTGTTGTTGTTGGCAGCTGAGCACCCTCACCTGTGACACACCTGCGTTAAATTTGCATACAGATTGTTCTTTAAATTCTTTAAATGTTTTCATAATTACTTGGCAGCAGAGAGCCCAGCCTACATTCAGACCTGCTTTCATCACGTTTATTATTCATGTTGGTCACATAATGACTGAACTCACTGTTATAAAACTTTACATGTTGGAAATAACTGTCTCARTGTGTGAAAACAAGAGTATTTGAATAAAGATTGATGTCTCACTCAGCTGACAAACAGTCTGACAGGACAGATTTATTCGTGTTAAAATACCAACAAACCGTCAGCTGAGAGATGTTAGTGAAGGTTTAGTGTTTGTTGCATCAGAAACATGAAACATGTTCAGACTGAACGCAAAATGACTTTAAACTTTTAAAGATTTATTTAATCCACATTTCATGCAGTGTCAKTTTGACATTAAATTCACCTACATGCAACATAACTTTCAACAACTGAAGGTTTCTTTAGTTTCTTTAACTCTTTCTAACATACAGTAAAAAGGTCTACTTCAGAGTAAACCAACATCTGTGGAAGTTTGTTTTTTAAACAGGAAAACAGCTGATAAGCAGTARGTAAGAAGCAGGTAAACTGTAATGACGTACCAGGTAAATAGCAGATAAGTAGTAGGTAAGAAGCATATAAGCAGTAAGTAGAACATAAGTAACAGGTAATAACAGATAAGTAACAGATAAGTAACAGGTAAGTAGCAGATAAGTTACAGGTAAGTAACAGGTAATAACAGATATGTAACAGTTAAGTAACAGATAAGTAACTGAAAAGTAAAAGGTAAGTAGCAGGTAAGTAACAGATAAGTAACAGGTAAGTAGCAGGTAAGTAACAGATAAGTAACAGGTAAGTAGCAGATAAGTAACAGGTAAGTAGCAGATAAGTAACAGGTAAGTACAGATAAGTAACAGGTAAGTAACAGGTAATAACAGATATGTAACAGTTAAGTAACAGTTAAGTAACTGAAAAGTAAAAGGTAAGTAGAGGTAAGTAACAGATAAGTAACAGGTAAGTAGCAGGTAAGTAACAGGTAATAACAGGTAAGTAGCAGGTAAGTGATAGGTAATAACATAAGTAGCAGGTAAATAACAGATAAGTAGCAGGTAAGTGACAGATAGGTAAGATGTAAGTAACAGGTAAGTAACAGGTAATAACAGATAAGTAGCAGAGTAACAGGTAAGTAGCAGGTAAGTAACACGTAGGTAAGATGTAAGTAACAGGTAATAACAGGTAAATAGCAGGTAAGTAACAGGTAGGTAAGATGTAAGTAGCAGGTAAGTAGCAGGTTAGTAACAGGCAAGTAGCAGGTTAGTAACAGGTAAGTAGCAGGTAAGTAGCAGGTTAGTAACAGGTAAGTAGCAGGTTAGTAACAGGTAAGTAGCAGGTAAGTAGCAGGTTAGTAACAGGTAAGTAGCAGGTTAGTAACAGGTAAGTAGCAGGTAAGTAGCAGGTTAGTAACAGGTAAGTAGCAGGTTAGTAACAGGTAAGTAGCAGGTAAGTAGCAGGTTAGTAACAGGTAAGTAGCAGGTTAGTAACAGGTAAGTAGCAGGTAAGTAGCAGGTTAGTAACAGGTAAGTAGCAGGTTAGTAACAGGTAAGTAGCAGGTAAGTAGCAGGTTAGTAACAGGT